GGGTTCTCATTTCCTTGGGCAGCGCTGCCCAGCACGGGCAGGGGGACTCCCACAGTGGTTCCTTCCATGGAGATGGAGATCCTTAGCTAAGCTCTTCAGCTTTTGCCATTTCCCAAAATTCACACGCACAGTACTGAGTCTCAAAGACCAAATATGTAGCCAGGAGCCCGGGAGACTTGAAACCAGAGGGCTTGATGCACTGTGGTGAAGTAACGTTGTGCCCATCAAAACTGTGAACAACCTAGGCTATTTCTGGTACTCTCAGCCACATTCAGCAGCTTCTGGGAAGAAGAACATTCCCGAAATGTCTGCAGGTTTTCATTCTAAGTGATGGTGGTTATGTTTTCAAAATGCTAGGATTTGCCTCCAAATTTAACAAGGCTTTTCTCACAGATATTAGCACTGTCTTTCACAAATACTACTTCTGTCTCTAATACTGTTATCTAACATCAAGCTTCTTCTCAAATGAGAGGTTCGTAAATTGACCTAAGCCTGCCCTTAAATTGTGAGCAAATACTAAAGGGTTTACAATATACAACAATTTATATATTCATTCATATCCCTTTTCTTTAGTTTGCCTGAAGTTTCCACCAGGTGTTTACAGAGAGGGTTCACTAGTCACCCTGACATGCACATACTCACAGTGGCATACACTCATGTCATTAGAAACAGCCTACAATATTCAGCGCCCATGCCTCACTTTCCCTAATAAAACATAGGAGATTAGGTTTTGTTGTCTCTATTAATCTGGCATCTGTCCTCTGCACCCTATAAGTCACTGCACATGCAAACAGGGGCTAATGCTCTAACAGTAGTATTGATCCACACAGACCTTTGAGTTAGGAGTAAAGCCCCTTTAATTATTTCATCTGACTTTTGTTTTTTACAGCCTCTTAGGAAACTATCTCCCATGTTTTAGTGTTGTTATTGTTTAGCTTGGATCTGGAGTTTCAGTCCCCAGAGAAACACCTTCTTCCCCCATCTGGCCTGCCCATGCTTGGCATCAAAAAAATCAGAAGAAAAAGTCATTCTTTTAACTTCTCTAAGGATTTGATAACCTCTCCACTTTCCTTAGCCAGGGGTGTTTTGACCTTTAATTAAAAGGAAAATTTGTTGCCTTCCATTCAGAAGGCGGCAAATAATGAACTCATTAAAATGAGGTTAGTGTTCAGGCCTTAGAGCAATAAGAGCTGAAGTCTCATTAGCAGCTAACAATCCAGAACATAGCACATAAATAAACCGAGTATGGCAGAGCAAAATGCCTTGGTGCATTAAATTTGAGCAGAATCAAATGTTTACAGTCAATGATGTCTGGGGCATGAAGTTTTAATGTACTTAATAAAGGAAAGCAAATTGCTTCCTATTAGCCATGAAATGTTACTGCAGAAATTGCCCCAAAAAGTTTATTATGTAAATGAGTTATAATTAACGAGGACTTTGTAAGAAAATATCACTTCTGCTTAATAGATGCACCAATTATTAAGAATAAAGACATGGCAACTTCAAATCTAATTATAAGGATTACTCTAAAATACTGCTGAATGTAAATGCAATATAAAGGAGAAACTGCATCTTGTGAATGTCACAGAGAAAAGTCTCATTGACAAAGCAAAAATTGAATTAATAAAATTAAACTCATGAATTTTGAGAGATTTTAAGCAATTAAGTTTCCTCTTTTTTATTTCAAAGAACAGCTTGAATTACCTTAAAAAAAAAAAAAAAGCCTAGCCTGGCACTGAGACATGCCTGTCTGACCATAGGCAGATGTGCTTTGTGGTTCTTTTCTTAGAAAAGGATAATTATTTAGCCCAGTATATTTAGCTGTCCAAAATTAAAATGATGGTAAATTCCAGCCATTGGTTTAAAATATTTCTATGTATTCAATGGCAATTTCTAAAGGTATTTTCACATGCAAGTAGTTTCCTTCCACTTGTGGCTTCTCTGAGCCCAAGAAGGTCAACCCACAGACCCTAAGGAAAGGCAGAGTGTAGAGCAATGGTTCCCCAGCGGCAGCAGGCACTGCACGTTGGCACATGAGTGGGGTGGAGGAGGAAAATGAAAATAAGGCCCAGAAGCGTTTCTAGCACAGGATCACAGGGAACACACCAGGTCCTCCTTCCCCACGTCCTTAAGGCCCCCAGGAATGCTGAGGGCCACGTTTCTGCCCAGGCAGCAGGCAAACTTGCTCCGGAGTTAAAAACAAGCAGGAATTCAGCAACCCACGTGGGCAAAACGGGAGTCACATGAATTTTTTTCCTGCCATGACACAGTTCCGTGCTGGGCTTTTAAGGACTGTACCTACAGAAGACAAAAAAGTCCCCACTATTTACTGTGTAAGACCACCCGTGAAGGCAGTTGAGTCAGCAGCAATTTTGTCTGAATATAAATTTACTGAAAATAGGAAAATCAAACCATAAGCACCTAGATACTGCTTGTTTTAATTAAGGATGGGGACAATATTATTTCCTGTCAACATACAGGCAAGAAGTGATAAAATGTTTAGGCTCGCTTATTTGACAATATCCTTTTAGTATTAAAATTAATTGAAGGAAAAATGAATTTTTGCTGCATATTACTTAAGTTAATATGCATATATGCAAATTGCAGGAAAAACAAGTCTTCAAGACCAAGCCAAATTCTGTTTGAGTGACAGATTTGCCCTTTAGACAGAGAAAAATGCATGACATGCTGCAGGTTATAGGATTTACATCTTAATCTTTGCTCTGTGTTTTAATGAGACCTCACTGGGATGAAATGTTTCTTGCCATTCCCCCTCGGTTTTGTGATCTTATTAAATGAGATGTGAGCATGAGGGAAATTGGGGGAAAGAAACAAAACACCAAGTGATATAATGATGTTTGTTTCTTATATGTTAGGTGATAATTTCTCAAAGTGTTCTTTCCAACAACAATTGAGTTGATTTTGCTCAGTCCATCAGTCTTTTTCAACATACATAAAATGCACTGTAACTTGCAAAATTATGTTTTAAAATATAATGACTCAGACTAAGCTGAGGACTTTAATGCTTTCAATTTAATGCAAATTTATGTCAGCTGGGGATTTTCCTCTGTCTTAGCTAACAGTCATGTTGCTCTCCAAGGTTTTATATTTTCATGAACATTTACTTATGCAGTATGTAAATATAGTGCTATATGTGGAAAAGTCAGGAAAGTGATATAACCAACTTATTAAATGTCTGGCAAGATGGGCTAGAAGCCATACTGCTGTCTTACTATTCAATTCTAAAGCTCATGATTTACTGCCATTAAATTGCATTATTTCTTTCCCTTAGCAATGTATTTTTGCTTGGAGACTGTTACAGTTGATAACTCTGTTTTATGTCTTCCTTAAAGCCCAATAAATGGTTATAATAAAAGAAATGAAGGCAGATGCACACTTTCTAACAACCTCTTACATTACATTGGCAACCTGCCTAGCACTTAGGTGAGATGCCTCTTTAGAAGGTGACTGCTGGCAAACGAAGCTTCAGAAGAGCCTGGTGTCCAACTGCACATAGCTCCAAATAGGTGTTGCAACTGGCGAGTGGTCAGTAACTCTGAAATCCCTGCCCGTGCCTCCTAACCTGCTTCAGTGCAAAGAAATATCTGACAAACCGTAACCCCACAGAGGCTGACCTGTTTTGTTTGGCTCTAGCATGGAGTGGGATTGAATGGACTGGAATTACATAGGCTGTCACTCATATTTCCATTTCTTAAAAACTCTACCTCTTCCATTATTTACAAAGGGCTGGTGGTACTTCTGATCTACGGTCACAACAATCTCACATTGTAAAAAATTTAGACCAGTGGGTTAAGGAAAATGGCGATGCCATTTTCCTGTAACATTAAGAGATATTATTACTAAAGACCATACCAAATGTTGTCTTACCAAAAAAAATGAAACACTAGCTGGAGTTGGGCCATGAATAAATCAGTGCATTCATTTTGTCTTGGAACTGTGGAAGAGCATGCATATTTCATTAATAGAAGTTATTGATAGTTTTGATAGATACTTTTAGATAGAAATAGTTATTGATAGATAACGGGAAACGTTTGCAAGAACCACATAATGGAGACATGGAAAATAATGTTATAAAGTTATATTTTATAACTTATAAACCATTCAGAAAGGTCTGGACCAAGAGAGAACTAAATGCGCTATCTTACATATGTAGCATGTCCAGCATTACACGGGTTGATAATTCAATGCAGACAGAAGTCTCTACAGAGAGGATTATCCTTAGGAGCAGTTAAGAGAAAATTTAGATAACTCATGGGCACTGAACCACTTGCTTCCCCCTTGCTGGTGTAGTATTTGGGGCAAAATATGTTTTCAAAACAAACTGGATAGAGGTCCTAAGTCTATATCCATTTGTTGTATAAGCAATATCCTTTCCCTCCATTTTGTTTAGATTGGCCTTTTCTTTCCCATGGAGGAAAATACTAAACAAGATTTAGTTTCATACCTGAGAAAAATGCACATTATTTTTACCAGAGATCAAAATGGGACTTTCTCACTCATACATAAGCCTGAATTTGATACCAAGACAATTTAAAATGTTTCTGCAGGTAAATTCCAAAGCTTTCACCTCTAGATACCAACTAACCTTATTTTGAGTTTTAAAACATTTTCCTAGGCTTCATTGATAACCCACATTATGAATGAATTAGTGATTTAGCATTTTGCTGCCCTGAAGAGCTGGATTTAATTCCTGCCTTAGATCATGCAAATAACACATAGCCTCATAGCCCAAGCTATGAAATTGTCACAGGTTGGTACTTAGATACTATTAACAGCACTGCTAAACCATCAAATTCTGAAGGATCAAATAACGCGTTTAGCAATAATCTGAAAGAATAAACACCCCAAATAAAGTGTGAAACATTTAACAGACCTTTCTTTTGTATCTCCTCAGTAGAGCAAACTTTTATTTAAAGTGAGGTATTCCAAAATTTTATATTTATTTTTCTAAATGCATGTTAATTTCTTATTTATTTCAGGCTTTACTAGAGACTCAAAATTTACTGCGCACTCAGGTTGCAAATTTTACCTTCAACCTTGGATTTTCAGGAAAATTTTACCACACAGGTAAGAAGGAACTTCATGCTCTCAGGTAGCTACAGTTAAATAGAGGATAGCATTTTAAATTTAAACATGCCCTTTTCTAAGCAATGCTTTGGTTCAGTGGAGCAATGGGAAATACGTTTTAGGCATTCAGGGTCTAATTTGCTGTCCTCTGAGGCAACATTAGATTATGAGTGAGGTCATATGTACAATGTCTGGTGCTTTTCTGAAAGACGTGTAGTAGTAGATCTTAGAGATGTGAACAAAGAAAAATATTTGTTAGGAACTCTGATTTTGCAAATGCAGGACAGCACAGAAGATAAACTGAGGTTTTGGCAATATCATAGCTATGGTGAAATATAAAACTGAAAAATCTGTCTCTACCTCTAAACAGGCAGAAGTACTTGAAGAAGACACACAAGATTTTGTTATAAAAATAACCCGTGACACTGGTCTGTGAGTTGGGTGGTGATAAATGGAGAATTATGCAATTTATAACTGAATTCTTATACCAAGAAAAATAGTAAACAGGATGAAAAGAAATTTCCATGAAATAAATGTTAAAGTCACGCTCCTGAGGTACACACAATAATAAGCAATACACACACACACACACAGTTTTCCTGGAGTATCCAGTACTCGTACGTCCCCTTCTCCTGCATGTTCCCTTCTCTCTTTTGCTCCATCTCCACTTCTGCTTCTGTCTGCTGCTGCCGACTGCTAGTTGCTATTTAGCAACTTACTGCAACAGAGATGTCTGCTGTCCTTTCCTTTTCCAAATTCTGCCTCTTTCCCACCCCTTAAAACCACCTCCAGGAATCTCACCTCCAGCCTGCTCAACCCCCACACTGGACCTGCTGCTTGAGGTGCACCGATAGAGCAAGCTGAGGAGCTTCTTTGAGGGGTATGAAGAGGCATTAAAGCAGCAAAACTTTAAGATGAGAACTATAGGAGCGATACTGGGAAGCAAAGTAGATAAGGAAAAGCAAGCAATTTTTTTTCCTCTCTCGGTGCAGGCATTGTATTAAGTCACTTCTCATATGCCAATACTGGATCACCAAGCAGGTGACCTTACACATCTTTCACATTAATATTTCACCACTAGTTAGCAGGGAACATAAGACCCTGGGAGATGAGAAAGCATCTGAAGAACAAACAGAGAAAAGGCAACCAAAATTATTTGTTTGTGTCTATCACTGTTGCTCTTAAGCACCACCAGTTAAAAGTCCAGGACATTTGCCCTTTGAGCAAACATATAACGTGAAACAGCTGCTACCCAGAAAAACCTTAAAGACTAAAGATGTAGGCTGTAGAGTATGAGAAAAATGAGGTACAGAGAGATGGAATTACTTGCCTGAAGCTGTATAACAAACCAGTGGCAGGTCTGTGATTAGAGAGCAACTCAGGAGAAAGACCTTCAAGTATTCTGCTCACTTTATCTTGACCTGCCTGTATAGTTATTTCTTGGGGAGATTAATTGGAGATATATGTAATATAGCAAAACAAACAAAAACAGCCCAAGGCTCTGAGCCACTCCAGCAGTAGGATGCTGCTTTACTGTGGCCATCCACAGAAGAGCTGGCATCAGTCATTGCAATGTCCACCTCAGAGAAAGATGATTCCAGGAAGTAAGAAAGTATGGAAAGAGATGATTATAAATTCTATAATTTAGATAGTGCCTGGCACAAAACAAACAACTTTCTGCAAAATCAGACCCCGCCTCCACTCCCAACTCTTCTTTGTCAATCCCAATAGCCCTCATGCTATCAAATTTTCTCAGCAGCAAAGCTGATTCCTATTCAGTCCACAGGTTTCCTCACCCACTTGCTATGACTGACCAATTTCAGATTTGCAACTGCTACAGGGAGAGAAAATAGGAAAATGTGCATGTGCCTGTTCTCCTATGGCTCTCAAGGCTTACAAAAATAGCACAGAACTACTTAATGAGCTGAAGCATGTCATTGCCTCCATTAAGGGACCTGCTGGAGTCTGCACTCAGTGATGCACCTGACTTTTTAAGCAAGCACTTCATTTACAGGTTGGTGGTAGTGTTTTGCCATATCAGCTTAGTAGAAACCTTTCAAAGTATTCTCCAGGCAATATACTCTTTATTGACTCATTATAAATAACACGTGGAAAGGTATTCTTTAATTACTGTAAGTGTGGCTTGTTTACCCAGAGAGGCTTTTAGTATAAGATATTCAACACATTTTATTAGCACTTCGAAACTGCTGTTATCGACTTTGTTAATGCACAGTTTTGCTCTCCTTTCCAAAACTTGGATCCTTTTCAAACTACAGGAGGGGAGTTCACCGTGGGAATGTCTGGCAGATTAAACAGACCCTTTCACCAAAAGATCTGGCTGTCACCCATATTACAAATACCAATTTCTGTTGGTACGTCTTCATGCAATTATAATAGGGGCCTTCTCAGTCTCACTATAAGGCTTTTAAAAATGGACTAAGTATCTATTAGCATTAGCACTTATTTTGTATTTATTAGGTGTCTCTATAAGATGTTCTCAGAACTTACAATTAAAATTTCTAAGATTATCAATACTAAATTTCAGAATTAGTTTGAGTTTTGAGCTTGAAAGAGATATCAAAGTTATGGTACTGCTTTTAAAGGGATTATTGATTATGCATAAACAATCTTTAAATAATTACCTCCCTATGCAAAGGGCACAGAGCATCTCACAACACATATATGCTCACCTCTGATTATAGGTCTATTCCATTTTACAGATTTCATATTAAAATGAAGATGAAAGTCACATAGATAATGCTGACTGCTCAAGAAATGAAAACTTTTTAATTCCTTACTTTGTCTCCGGTACTCCGAATAAGGGTTTGGCAAAAGTATTTAAAAGACATGGACATCCATCAAATTGTCTATTCAAAGTTTATCTGATTTTTTTTAAAGTATCTTTACTTCAAAATTTCTAGAACCAGAATGAATATTTTTTTAAAAAGTTTATAAAGAAAGTTATCCTTAAGGGCAACAAGGACAAGTTTGAAACCTTAGGGATTTCTGTTGCAGGTCTACCATTATGAGTTCTTTTCTAAACTGGAAAGTACTTTCCGTTGTTTAATCTTTGTTATAGTAAAAATAAAGAAGTTCAGTCTGATGAGTTTTACCTAAATGTACAAAGACATTAGTAGAAAAATGATTAATATATTTTTAATAGTGAGACACTTTCAAAAGATCATATTCTACTTCAAACATTAATAAGACACTGAATTATTCTCACTTAAATCTCACCTCACATGATCATAGTTCCATGTAAGTCTCCAATAGCCACTTCCTTCTTTTTAGCCCTATCTTCATTTTTCTATTTAAGAGCTACCAAATGGGATCTTCACTGCCTTCCCAGATTTTTACCCCTTTTCCTTCTGTCCTATTTGGAAAGCCTGCACTAAACTTCTCTCCTCTCTGGTCTTGTTTCCTTTCAACATACATATGCCTACATGGGTGCACATGTACCTCCTACCCTCAATAAACAAGAGAACGGTCATTCGCCAGACAACATACAGAGAAATTTAGGAACATTTCTACTCCATCGTACAAAAGAACTGCCATCTCTTCTTCTCAGCAAGAAAACACCTAACAAATGAGCTTGTAATATTTTCCCAGAGGTATTCCCAACAGTGGAGGCAACTGCATGCTCTCTTACAGCTTGTGGAGTAGTACAGAGTCAATTGATTTGGTGGCACTAGGAGAAAGTTTCAAGGCAATGCTCTTGCTGTGCAGTAGTGTTCTTCACAACACTGCAGAATAAAAACAAAGAGCTGAAGTGCATATGCTGAACAGCCACATCTACATGTTTCTCCTTCATGCCAGAGAAGTAAACAGTAATGTCCACAGAGCATTTTCTTCCATGGAGCTTTGCAAAACACTGAAAGGCTTGTAAAAAGAAAGTTATCTGTATTTGCATCAATAGACAGATTTTGACAAACATTTCTTCAGCTGAAGCTAAATAAAAGCACTTAAATTGAAATGATGAAGAAACAAGGAATGCTGCCAGTAAACTGAATGTTGTTCACTAATTTGAGGATGAAGTTATTGAAATGTTAACTTTGCCTTTCTTATTTAAAAAAGCACTGGAAACATATGTCTGCAGATGTTGGAAGTAGTATCATATCATTTCTCAGATGGATTTTTGTTGTTATAACCACTTCTTTCTTGCTTCTGCCTGAAGCAAATACTCCTCACTAACACAGGTATTTATTCTTTTTACTTAAAGACTATACTTGGCAAATGGAATATTGAACCCTAGAAAACACAACATTTGAAAACCCTTTGCCATTACAAATTTTGCCCCCTGCAGATAAACTTTGAAACTTTTGAAAAGTTTCTTTACACTTTAGCACAAATTAACAAATTTCCAATTTGATGAAGCTAACGTAACTGCGAGTGAAAGTTGCTTTTGGTAAGAGTCTGAGCACAGAGGTTTCAGCCAGCTAGTGCAGTGCAGGATCATGACATACCAAACCAGGTGAGTACAAGTCTATTCAGGCGCCACTTGTCAAGAGCCTCAGCTTCTGCATATAGCTGAGAAGAGCAGACAGCCCTTGCAAACTCATCCTTCCTAGAATTACTGGCTATTAATACCATACCAGGAACCAGGAGAGGCATCCACCGTTCACAATATCACTTCTGCAATGTGCTAGGGTCCATCTTCAGCAGTGAGAAAGAATGAGTCCACAGATGAGTCCAAGAATGAGCGGCAGCCTCTTTATAAGTTTTGTGTGTGTGTGTGTTTTTTTTTTTTTTCTCTTGCAGGCACAGAAGAGGAAGACAAAGGCGATGACTTGTTGCTGAGGTCTGTAGATGAGTTTTGGTGGTTTCCCCATATGTGGAGTCACATGCAGCCTCACCTCTTCCACAATGAGTCATCACTGGTGGAGCAGATGATCCTCAACAAAGAGTTTGCACTGGTAAGTTACCAGAAGGTATATGCTATCCAAAAGGTCCGTAAGGACACTTTTCTATCTCTGCTTTCCAGGCTATTTTTATGTATCTTTATTATTTATACAGCTATCAAACAAATGAGAAGCCAAGACTGGAAGTTCAGTCCCAAAAGGGCTTTTTGTGATACTTTTGAGCTTGGGCTCAGTTTTGTCACAGCCTTTTTCACTGGCTTTCCAGCCAGAAAGACTCACCTCAGTCAACCTTGCAAGACCATAAGGATGAGAAGTAATCAAACCTCAGGTAGATGTCAGCAGACACTTTGAGCTCTTGGAAAGTGATAAAAAGGTTATCAACTTCTCAAAGCCCAGTTCAAACATCTTTGTAAGCAATGGAGATTGTTCCAGTGAAACATTAGTGCTGCATAGAATTTCTAAGAAAACTCTTGAACCCAGTGAGGTAAATGAGAAGCAAAGCTACTGGATTTCACAGTGCTTTAAGACCCAAGAACTAACCTACTGATACTTATTGATGTTTTATTTTTGCTTTTTATATTGTTAATTTACAAGAACTATCCTCACAGCTCAGCATACCCACACTCCAAAGAAAAGCCATTTCATTGAAAGCCATTTCAATTTCAAACCCACTCAATTTTACTTCTTTACTCAGCACAGCAAAGAAATGTGCAGTCTAAAAATGCTCTTTGGAAAGCACATTATGGGGTCTATGGTGAAGCACAGAAATACCAAGCAACCAATGTCGCTCTGGAGAGTGTCATGGCAAGACTTCACTACTCAAGGAGCACAAAACTAGGTGATAGCTCTGAAATATCAGGTTCTCCCCTCTCCCCAGCTCTCTGGTGGGAGAAGAGGTGCTCCCAGGAGCCGCCAGAGGCCGATGTCTGAACAAGCAGCTGAGGATTTTATTCTCTTTTTTATGAAGATTTTCTTAACAAACTCTAAAGCAGATTAAAAATAGCTTAATGGTTTACGCTTCTTTCTAGACTTGCTGCCTTCCAGGTTCCTACTTGGTAACATATTAGTATAGAAGCATTTTAGTTTATTTTTTTCTCCTTCCACAGTTCTGTTTTACCACCAGCTTTACTTTATTCCTGCCATGGTCTATTCTTGACTTTTGTGTAACCGGGTAAACTGCCTCAAAAAAAGACCCAATAGACCCAAAAGAGCATTCAAGATAGCTGAGATCTTAAACACCAAAGTAATTTTAAAACAATCTCTAATTCAAAAAAGCCTGTTCATCTCTAAGCCTGTGGGAAAAGTTATCACAGTATTTTCAGCAAGCCTGACATCTCCTAGATCAAACCACCTTTAGGAGAAAAGCTGTAAGGTAGCCCAAAAATGGAGCTTATAATAGAATCTGCTTGCAGTTTCACATATAGCAAGATAAAGCCATCTCTCTATAATCACCCTCACTGAATGATGGACTCCGTAGGGTGCCTATAAATAAGGAGAGAATGTCAGCGAAAAGCTGATGTTATTATAGCTTTATTTCCTGCTAACATTTGGACAGGGATTGTACTCACCTCCTAACCTTGAATCCATACTAACTGTACAATTTACTTATGAGAACATTTCTTTTCAAAAGACTTTGCATGAAATCTTCTCTGGGGTAGAAATTTATCTTCCTGATATGACAACCTTCCTGATACCCAACAGAGAGGTCCCAGCCATGACTTCAGAGTGCTCTTGCATGCTCCTCTCCTACTTTCTCTTCCCCACATCAGGTCTCCCCGCTCCATAACCACATTTTATTACTCCGTCAAAGAAAATCCCTTTTCAGTATTCCTTTACATCACAGTATGGAACTAAATTTAACTTAGACATACAGAACAATAACTGTGTGACAAACAGATTTCTTTAGTTTATTCAGTATTATAATCAGGGGTAAACAGCATTAATTAACTCTGTAAGTATGAATGGGAGGGTAATAATCTTCAAGATGGGAGGGGAAATTATACCTAAAAATACATACCAAGACCACCAATAACAATTGCTTTAAATATCTTCAAAACAGCAACTGAATTTCTGTTCATGGAAACCTGTTGCTCCTCCTTTGCTCCTCAGAAAAAAAAAGCTAATGTGACACTTTTCGTGGTCTCACAGAGAAAGCTCTAGTAAATCAGAAAAGGTGTCAGTCCACTATCTCTCCTTCAGTACATAGATGACACTGACTGGAAACCCAGACTTGACCGGCCAGGTTGAAAATGCAGAAAACAGTAAATTCTCCACTCAAGAAAATGTCGGGCTCAGGAGTAAAATTGTTCATTGCGGGGAAAAAAAATTCTGATAAAAACATTCTTCTGAGTACTGGGGATTAAAGTCTAGCTCAGTAACACAAGTCAATGCATCTGCAACAAAAGATTTCATAGATATTATAGCATGAAACTACAAATATATGTGCACATGATTTTTATTGGAGCTTATATTTATACTGTATGCATAATCACCTGCCTGCAAGAGCTTAGATGTACAGTCTAGTGAGCACAGGCAAGAAACACAAGGTGCTGCAACTCGGTACTGGTTTGAAATAACCTTCCTATTTTGTATTGATAATGACTATCAAATAGAGTGTTACGACTGCATCCCATCTCAAACAGGTGTATCACAAAATGTATGTATAAAACCATTGCACACCTGCACTATTTTGTACACATGCAACTAATTCCTGATTATATACATAACTGTTGAATTAACTAAGTCCCAGATCTGCAGAGGCATGTAGCTATCTGCACTGAATTCAAGGCAGTCTCTAAAAGATGACCATACATGCGAACATTTGAATAGGAGACAGCCTTTAATAAGAGCAGTTTGTTTTTTGTTTGAGTGTGTCCCTAAGATGAGGGGACACACTCAAAAATGAGGCGTTTATCCTTTTTGAGAGCAACGTCTGGTTGGCAAGAGAAGGTTTTTCTGGCCTGTTTCACACTTGTTGTTCCTCCATTGCTCTGGATATAGCAGGAAGGTTCGTCTAACCAAATCCTTGTCCCCACATACCTGAACGATGCTGCTCTCACCAGCCTATTTGTGTTCCTTGCTGCCGAACTGCCTCCCAAATGCCCACAATGTCCCCAGCCTCGGGTGGCCCGTGGCATTAGCAGAAGGTCCTATGGTTGTTAGTAAGAGCAACCAGACGAAGTGACTGCCTGGGCAGCATTAACACATCTCCTCAGCCTTGCTGTCATCGGCAATAGGCTAGATTGGCTGCCGAGCAGGGAAAACACTGCAAAGCCTTTCCCTTTTCCCCGTTACTTCACACAGTATATTTATACTTGCAGTTTTCTTTTCCTCAGAAAGGGTGGTGTTCTTTCATCTAGACTTCTGTCTTTTTTCCTAAAGATATACTGCTGAGCTACAAAGATATTCAAAAATCTAACCTACTAAATATTTCCAAAAGCAAGTGTCAGTTTAACTCTAGTTGAGTAACTTCCTGACCATCCAGAACTCTGCTATACTAATGTTGTTATTTGTATAACTATGAACAGTACATTCCTAATTAAGGAAAAAGATATTTATTTATCAGTTTGATCTGCCAATTTTTTTTTGCATTTTTTTCCTGAGAATCCCAAAGTGCTTTAAAGGCACTGACACAAGTAGAATATATTTTACCCAAAGCTTACTGCCCTTTGCTCAGCAATTTTTCTTCTGTGCTCATGTTAGCACAAAGCACAAGTAGAGATAGGGCAAATGTTATTGCCAGCTATGATCTGGCAAGCGGAAGGGGGAAAAATACACATACAAAGCCAATCGATTCCAACCCCTCTCCAGTAAAGCTCACTTTTCCATTTCCTGTGTGTAAGGCAGCTAGAGTCACATTAGCACTTCCTGCACTTACAACTTTTCAACCACTCAGACCACAGAGAAGCCATGAGCTTTTTAATATAGCAATTAAATACCAAGAATATGAACACCAATGACCACATATCAAATGCAGTATCCACAAACAATGGAAAACAAACTGTCTAATTTGTCCCATTACTAATATCCATAGTTAATGTTGGGAAGGAGATGCCCATTAGAGACTGCCACTAGAACAGTTCTGTAAGTGCTCTGTGTACATAGGACAACAATATTCTACTGCACAGACAGGATGAAGTTTATTCCACCTAGCTTTTAAAGTTCTTCCTAAATAGTCCCTCTTCATTAGTGCTTTTTCTCCATGTGGCTTAACCTTGTGACAAGCCCACAGAACAAATTAGTTTGTGTGACAGGTTGTTCCATTAGATATAAACTGCCCCTTCATTTCTGTACTCTTACAGGTAGTGCTCCATCATGCCAGCACCTGCAGATAAGTTACAATAGCTGCAGTCACTCAAACTCATCATTCTTTTCCATAAAGCTTGAAACATTAGCTTTACATGATACAAACCCTATCTCCTAATGATAACCAGCTCCTTCATTTGCTGAACTGTCTTGTCCAGGTAGAGCTTTTAAACAAACTCAAGAAAAAGTTAAACGAGGCTGATGTAAACGAGGCTACCCAAAAAGTGACCCAGAAACTTACACCTCAAAAACGTGTCTGTAAAGTCTAGAACAACATTTTTGTGGGCACTGATGAACAAGAAAATTCATTTACCTAATAAAGGAAACAGAATAAAATATAATATATTACAGGAAATCTCACCCATCTGCAGCAGTATTAGAAATATATCCCAGCACTGGAAGTATGCAAAGCTTATGTAATTCTTTAATTTTGGAAAGTGACATCTTAAAAAGTAGAACATTTACTCTATCAACTTCTGTGCAAAGTCAAGAAGTTTAGCAAGCTTATCTGCAGCTAGTGTTAACTTTTCATTTAATTGAATCTTAACATCAAGGAGAGTCCTGCAATTTAACCATGTGAAAAGACCTATTGGAGACACCAAGTTTTCTATGTAAAAAGTTGCATCATTTATGCATTCTGTGATAATAGCCAGTACTAAATGTTTCTATGAGGCAAATAAGTGTACTTTAAAAATCCAGAACACCAGTTCTATTAACACAGTTGTATTTCATTTTTGTTTAATTTTCTTCCTTGTGTTGTTTTAAGAAGGATATGTAATATTTGGTTTGAATAAAAACTGTGTTTTTCTGTCAGATAACATCCTGCTAATGTAAATAGCTAGTTTTCAAACACTCCAGTTTTTATTCAAATTTCCAACATCTGCTCACAATAAAAATGCCGCAGGAATGAGAACACGCCTGCTACTGGAAAGCAGTGCTTGCTCTGCACAGTTGTCATGCCTTTGCAGAGATTTTTTTTGTAAATGCAAACACAGAATATATACACATTGAACATACCGACTCACGGCCAGGAAGTTTGCATCAAGGCTCATTTCTGTTCAAATAGGAAGGTCAAAAGAGGTTAGGAGTTCCAAGCAAGCCTTCACTTGCTTACCAAAGCTGATAATTGAGAGAGAGAAGCAGCTTCCACAGATTGCCTCTGCCTTGCAGCGCTTAAGTAATGGTACACACCAGTAAAAGTAAGGGATGCCTGGGGCAATTTGCTTTAAAAACACACTCTGATTCTCACAGGCTCTGCCTGTGAACACCAGGCTCCCACCCAGGAGCTGGGACACCAGCACTATGCAGTTTGCAAAGTAGAGGCAGGTATTTGTGCCCTGTGCTAACTTATAAGCTGTTAAAATATCAGCACATGGGGAGAAAGGCAGATCCTAAAGCCTTATCTCCATTTTCTTCTGAGGCTGTGGAACTGTTCTTGGAAAACTTTCCACACATTAATCACTGACTATTGGTAGCATCCTCCAAGCCTTTGCTTTTTCTACCCCTGAAATACTCATGTTATCTATATAAATGCAAAGAAATACCATCTCACACAGCTGAACTTACCAGGAAGTAGATAAAGACACAGCAGCTTCTGGAGCAGTGCAAGGAAAAAACAACACAGCTACATATCTCTTCTGCTGCCTTGGAGTTCCAGCAGCGCAGAGCCAGGTGCTGAGTTAGAGGTGAATAAACAGGGACTTCTAGACAATTTCCAAAGCTTCACGTAAACATCCAGCTTTATTTTAAAAAATACCCACACCCCAGTGTTTTGGTTAGTTTTGTATTTCTTACTATAATAATGCATAATGCTTATTATTTTTATAGCATGTTTAGTGACATCGATATTGCATTTTCTTGTTTCTCAATTACTACCTAAGTTTTACATGCTTATACTTTCAGTTCATAAATCAATCTATTTTGTTCAGCTACTAAATATAATTTTTCCTTATATTTTAAAGGCAATCATGGATAAAATTCAGTCAATTTTCTGACAAAAACCCACAAGACCTGTTTTAGTCATCCTCCTCCTATCTCTCAGGCTGTAGCAGAAATTCTCTTTTAATGTCCAATTAGAGGCACTACTGTGCAATGTCCAGCCCAGACTTTACTGCAGCTTCAGCTTACATGGCCATTTAAATTAGAATTGGAATAACATACAAGTGAAATGGGAAAGCAAACTTAACCTGTCCAGTGTGGACAGCTCTAGGATCCCCACTGGAGTATGAGAATAACAGTGCTCAGCACCAAAAGCTTCCAGGAGTTTTGTGCATACACACAGATGGACAGAACTTGTTTCTAAACATTGAAATGAAAATACCAATGAAAGTTTCAAATGTAAAAATAACCTGGTGGAATTTTGTAGCAGGTTGTCTGTTAGAATATATAAGAAATAATTTACCCTGGAATCTCCAGTGTTGCCTAACAGCTTGCAATAAGTCCTTCTTAGGTTCAGTCATATGCTCCTCCTTTAGTATGTTAGTTCCCAATTCCATATTAAATTCAAGGAAAAAGCAAGAGGGGGAAAAAAAACAGAGCAACAGAAATTGTTAAAAGAGGCCATATGATATTTAATTTACTCAAATTGAACATGATACTGGCCAAAGAAAACCTGATTATGCTTAGTTGCTGTTTCTTCAAAAAATCATGTTGGGTATGTGGGCAACTGATCTGTATTTATGCAAGGAAATATGTAGTGAACACTTGGTATTCAGAGGCTGATTAGATTTTATTGAGACCTCACCAAACATTACCTTTTTTAATTTGTGAATGGTAGGTTACCATTTCGCCATGCTGTTGCTATGGCAATACCAGCAGCAAATAACAGGTAGATAAGTGGGATTTCGCATGTGTTCCAGCAGGTGCCTGCTTTTTGATGCATCATTCAGAGCAGTATTCATTAGCCAGATCTCGAGACACTTTACACTTGTTTTGATGAAGGTCTGTGCGCATGCAAGATATTATAATACCTTGAGCAGCGTGAGCATCATAGTCTACTCAGACTATTATTCAAAGTCAGACAAATCTACCCTATTAGTAAAAGTCCAGGTATTTCACAGGTCCCTTAATGTGATTTTTTTTCTTTTGTACATGCTCATGGAAAAGTTAGAGCAGAGAACGATTTAACATTTCTTGTTACACAGCTCTTCATCATTTCACCTCTAAACTGACTCATGCCTTTCAGGTAGGTGACAGCATTAATAAGCAGAAAACGCATTTGTGCTCAGTGAATTTTCACAAGAGTGGGTTTGGCTTTCTCCCTTTCAAGATCAGCCAGTAACCCAAGGTCTTTACTAATAAGGAACAGATAATTTTAAGCAGCTGCATTATGTGATATAAGAACAAGCACTCCCCATAGGTTTAATTTATTCTTGTCAATGAAACAAAAACCCATCTATGTAAAGTACTTGAAGATGCCCAGCAGAACCTGCTACTCCCAGAATTAAAGTAATCAACAGTTATTAGATAATGTGGGCAGGAAGGACAAAAATTACGATCTCGCATTTTAGCCATTTCCCTCTGAATATCAATTATATATGAACAGAAAATGGCTAATGCGTTCCAAGCGTCAGCAGCTCTTTTGGCAGGAGAGGGAAGTGCTATAAGGGAGCTCTAAGGCAGGGGAAATGAGATGATGCTTTTAAAGGTTAAGGGTTTCAGCCAAGGAGCCTGGCCCATTTGCCACAAGGGCTTTGCTAGGCAGGGACATTGGGAAGGATCCACAGCCCAGCTTGTGCCTCCTGCACCAAGCCAGCATTGAGCACAACGTGATGCAGGGAATAAACCCAACTCTGTCCGTATTTGTAATAGAGGAAGGGATTCAGCAAAAGCCACAGTGACCCTGAAAACAGGTCAGAGGCCCTTAACGATGCCTGCAGCAAGTCCCGGCATAAGGAAGGAGAGGCAGAACATAGCTTTTATTTTGCTGTCTATAGCTGGCAAAAAAAGTCTGATGCGCTTTTGAATATTTACTTAGACAAATGAAGCTAATTACCTTATTTTCTCAAGTATAGCTAATGCTTCAAATAATTTGCACTCTTAAAAATATTTTGTTCTAGGGATGTGGTTATTGGACCCCATCATCAGATGAAGTTTTCAGACAACCCACATTGAACAGAAACCAGAGGGATTAGAAACAGAACAAGGCAGAAGAGCCTTAGGAGTAAAAGGAACATGCATAGGAGATCAGCAGGCTCACATTTAAGCTTTTTTCTTAATTCCTTCTGCCTACAGATAACCACCCCATTGTTCAATCAGAAGATATTTTTAAGATAATGTATAGATCATACACATGAGAATGCATACATTTCATCACAGGAGATGAGATGAATACATATTTATGAATTGGAAAATATGTCTGTCAGTCCATTTTTCATATTACCCTAATGCTGTGGGAAAACACAACTAGCCTCAGAAGCTATGGAGAAAAAATAGCAGTAAGGAATTCTGCTCTTCTTTTAATAAAGGATAAACCACAGATCTCAGAGCAACAATTTTTCTGCTTAGTACCCTAATGCTCTTTGAAAACTTAAATTGTAACAGCTTATTACACAATATGTAATGAACGATAGACAAATCTGTTCTGTGCAAAAACACCACAATATAACCCAAGAGGAATATTTATCACTCTGCAGGTTATCAAATTGTAACTTCAGCTTCCCTCATCTCTAATGTTTAACACATGTTACATACAAATAGAAACAAGCCTGCCCAAGGACAACAGCTTCTCAAACCCGGTGGTCTGTAGAAGGAAAAAAGGCTTTCAAATAATTACTCATTATTTTTCTCCTAAATATATTCCTCCCTTTGCTATGCTGCAGGAGCACGGTATACCAACAGACATGGGGTACGCGGTGGCTCCGCACCACTCGGGCGTCTACCCAGTCCACGTGCAGCTGTACGAGGCCTGGAAGAAGGTGTGGGACATCCGCGTGACCAGCACGGAAGAGTACCCGCACCTGAAACCCGCACGGTACAGACGGGGCTTCATCCACAATGGCATCATGGTACACTGCGCTTCCATGCTTCATAGCAATGTTCCTTTAAGTGACTCAGAAGGAGGCTATTTTTACCAAATGCTGCAAGTTTGAGAGCAATCATTAAAATTCTGTGATGGAGGATTTGTAAGGATGCCAAAAGAGCACATTTGCTTCGCAGCCAAAAAAAAAAAAAAACAAAGACTTTGGCAACTACAAATATAGTGCTCAAACTCAATGTACTTGTAGCCCAATCAACTATCATCTTACTTATAAATGCATATTTTTAAATTTATTAAACTGCCTAAGACCTATGTTTCAAGGTCAGGTTCATCTTTATGCATGAAGGGAATAGAAATACACCAACTGGGAAGATGAACAGGTGTAAGTCATCTCCTCCAGCAAATATGATGCTTTTCCCAGGCCAAGTTTTGTTTCTGAGACACACTTCTGAAACTCACATAGTCAGGGACTGGACATGTGCCTGTTTCAGGCTGTGTATTTTGGTAAGAGATAAATGTCCTTGCATATAGATTTCATCTACAAAACAATCAAATAAACATGCAAAATTTTGACCTATCTTAAGTTGCAGCTCCAGTGAAGGGGGCAGAGAAAGGTGCGAGAGCTCCCAACGTGACGAAGGCCGGCGAGCACCCGCGTCGCGCTCAGCGGGACCCTTCTCAGCAACACGTGCTCTGCCCTAGGTAAACACACGGTCAGAAGCAAAACCACAACCAGGTACTGCTGCAAGTCCTGACGTGTCAATTCTGACATGGGAGAGAACGTGCTCTCCTGTCTTCTCTCGCTATAGATATTTTTTTTCCTGTCTCTCCTATGACCAGGAGATCATATCATACCAAATGTAAAGCTTTTATCAACGTTTCTGAAACTAAAGTTATAGTGCACCTGAACAGGTGCTGATCTGACTAGTTCTTTAATTAAATAATTTCCCACAAGGGCTTCTAGATGCAGGAACAAAATAATAAGGCACGTAGATTTCATTTTATGCAAGATTTTCATCAAATTGCAAATATATACAATCTGGATTAAATCAGTAAAGGAGGAGAGCTTGAGCAACCAATAAGGCTGCACTCTTGCACATTAGAGAACACCTGATAAAGTATCCAAGGAAAGAATATCAAAATTATATTGTTTTTATTATTTAGAAATATTCAGTGATATAACGTAATGCAATATCACTTCAGCTGAACAGAAAATGCCTTGGAAAGCAGAGCAGTTTTATCAAAACAAGCATTTTACCACATACTTAGATAAGCAAGAACTACAAGACTGTCCTGTAAGCCTTTAAGCCAATGAGTCTATAATTTCTGAAATACACACTCTAGCAGAAGGTACAACAAAATACCCACACTGTTCATATACTATGCATTTTTCCTCTGCATTTTTTTCTTAAATGTTTGGAGGAAAAAAGATTTCTCAGGAAATTTGTTATCCTTTCTAAATTTTTGAGACACACGTTCAGTATTATGGCAAGGATATAATTCCTTTTATACACTTAGAAATTATTTTTACAGGTTGCCACAATTTCTGTTAACTTCACTGCATATGTCATTTTTTTCCCAATACTTTCTGGACAACAGGTATCGATAATAACTGCTGGTGCAATGCACTATTCAAAGACTCACTCCTGCCTCACTGCAAGATGCACTTAGTGGAACCCTGGTCCATACAATATGGCACAGTTCTTGACACAGACACAGAGAGAGAAATTTCAATATAGTTTCAGCACTGGAACAGGCTGCCCAGAGAGGTTGTGGAGTCTCCTTCTCTGGAGATCTTCCAAACCCGCTTGGATGCAGTCCTGTGCCACGTGCTCTAGGTGACCCTGCGTGTGCAGGGGGGTTGGACTAGATGACGTGTAGAGGTCCCCTCCAACCTTAAGCATTCTATGATTCCATGATCTGGAATTTCACATCTGCACAACTGCATTTGCTTACAGGGAGAACAGAGAAAGCACAAGAGTCCATAATCAAGCCAGAATAGAGAGTCAGAAAGGGCTGAAGGGTGTTAGGGATGCCTTTTTTTTTTTTTTTTTGCAGGGGCAGAAGGGGAAGGAAGGGAATTGCTGAAGGGATTAGGATGAATGTAAATTTGCAGAAATAAGTTAATGTCACAAAGGCACTCTTATTTTTTCCTCAGGTGCTCCCTCGACAGACCTGCGGCCTTTTCACTCATACTATTTTTTACAAGGAATACCCTGGGGGTCCTCATGAACTTGACAAAAGTATCCAAGGAGGTGAACTCTTCCTCACCGTTCTCCTAAATCCTGTATGTATCTTCTTTTGCTATTCTTGGAACAAGCTGAACAACAGGGAGGAGGGAAGGAAAGGAGATTTGTTTTCTTTAATTCTGTTTAGGAAGTAATCAAGACCCCTTGCTCTGAGGTACCAAGCAATTCAGGAAGAAATAAGCAAAAACATCTGCTAATTTCTGACTTCAGATCCTACATAAGACAAGTTACTAGGCAAGTGCATTCATTATGTTTTCAAACTGTTTCCCAACCTGTCTTTGACTACTGGTAAGGAAGGGAAAGCACTGAATTGTCTAACCTAGACTGAAAGAAAACAATAAGGGTAGAGCAACCTGCATGATCTCACTTATCCTTTTTGCCCCTTCTCTAGTCTTGGCTCTGGAGTCACTTCTAGTACACCTTAATGGAAAGCCCGGGGCTTCAGGCTAACAAAATTTTGCTGACGCAAGTTCTTAAAAGCAGGTTTTGCACAGAAAAAGAAATGATAAAATTGGCTGAATGCTACTAAGTTGAAGCAAGCCTTCAAGATAAATAGGTAAAGATGGTAGTTCACAAAAAGGATTTGCAGAACAGCATCAGAAGCAGTTTTGCTTTTTTTCCCATGGTTACCTTTTTGCCGGTCAAGACTACATGAACTGGAAAGCATGTATGTATAAAAAAGACACCTATGTGTATATACAGACTACTTATAGATATATGCAGGTACATGTAGATACAGACTACGTATATCTACACATGCACATATAGGTTGACTAAAAGTGACAGTCTTAGGATGATTTGCACAGCTACATCCTGACTTTCTGTCAACAAAAGTCTGAACAGGGCCATGCTAAGACATCATGCTGTCAAATTTGTATCTATGGGCACATGTGGTAGGTGTGACAGGGCTTGCTAAGGATCAAAGAGCAAAAGTTAAAAGACAGTTGCACTGCTAGTTTGAAGCCATATTTCTCTTACCAAGAAATATCTAGCAGTGTTTGAGGCAGCAGACCAGAGAGGGAAAGAGAATAGACTATGAGAAAGGAGAGAAAAAGTATATACTAATTTTTGCTATCGCCCTCCCTTTTGCTGTTTCTATACAAACAAGGCATCCTGCTCACAAGATAAATGCCTTGTGTCCTGCAAGGTGGCCTAATTTTCAGTGGTTTTAAGTTACAGCACTCATTGACTTCTCTATAGAGTTAAAGAAGCTTCCTTGGAACTGGCTTTCAAATCCAGGTCACTTGTTTTTAGATACCTAAGTATAGATTTTGGTGTCCTATAATTAGATGCTTATGTGTGCAAGATTTGGCTTGGGAGCAAGTTGGCATCTGAACGAAAGAGATTGTTTGTTTAAAGAAATGGGACGCCTCTGTTAGGATTTTTTTCTCTCTATGCCAGGTGTGACACTGAGCTAAAAAAAAAAAACATACCCTGCCCTCTGTTTACCTGAATTCTCTTGAAGAGGGGCTTTTCTTCTCCTACTTTGCTTGAGCATAGTTTGGCTCATCACTATCTTGAGATGCTGTTGGAGTTATCCTTAGCTTCATCATACTTTTACTATTATCCGAAGTTTTCCCGAGGTATAGAAAGTTCAATCTACAGCAAATGGTTCTTTCGTTTCAAGAGATATACTCAAAATCCTGGGTCAGTTTGGCTTTGTGCATGTACTTAATTTTGCATTCCCAACGTTTCCAGCACACTTAGACCACTTCTCTCTCTTTCTCTCCCTGCTACACACTTTTCCCCTCTAATCTACTTTTCTTGAGCATGGCAACCAACCAGGAAGCCGCAACTTTGCAGTTGCTCAGTCCATTGCAAATCATAACCTTTGCAGGTTTTAAATAAATGCATCTAAAAACTCTTGCAAAAGGCAGGCTGGTGCTATGGCAAAAGGCACTTGGTGTATTGGAAACAGCCCACATCCCTGCAGGCTGCCTTTCTCTGGGGAAAGGCTGAGCCCCTCACCAGAGGAGCCCCTGGCTCTGAGGGCATCATTGCAAGTGAAGGGATGAGCACCCTGGTTGCACCCTGGCCAGCAAACTGTGCAGCGCACACACACACAGAAAACACATGTACTGATGACATTTCAGGAGGGATGCACCAGAGAATTTCGCTATGAAGGCAAGCTGCAATGGCATGCAAGATATTCTGGATTTAGCTACAGAACTGTGATGTCCATGACAAAGCTAAAATACTGTTTTCAGAAACAGGAAAAGAGGGATGGCTGGGGAGGGTGTTTCTTCAGTGTTCTTCAATACAGGCACTGGTTTTGACCAAGCTATGTTTGAATATCTTGAAAGGGCAATACATACTGTATTGTAGGATTTGGAAAAAAGTTTTATATCTGTACTACTAATGCTTCATTTGCTTCCCCATCTCCTTTTTTGAATTTCTATCTTCCCTCCTTAAAACCAGCATTCTACTGAGCTGAGCCACACAACAGAAATACAGACATGCTCTCCCCTGACACAGAGTTAAGTAAAAAACTGTTCCAGTATAGTGTTTACTCAGGTAGGAAGAAATAAAATTATGTGCAAGCTGAAGATATACCAAAAAGCCTTACCATCATTCAAGTCAGGTTGGTACCATACTCTGTGTGTGGCAAGAGGCATCTAGCCTAATTTCAGAAGTAGGAAAAAGAAGTCATCTATGTGCATAGACCCCCAGGCACTTTTATCTTTGAGTATGGTATTTTGCTGTGCTAACAGCTCACAGAGCAACAGGGAGATCTCTCTTATCTATGATGGACACAATTCAGAACTGGTGTATGGATCCTAGATCCATAGTATCTTCTGAAAATCATCTAACATGCTTATTCTGCTGCTCAAAGAGCAGATGCAGTTGAAGAAATATGCTTTGAATGCAATGTACAGCCCGAAGTGGCAGCAGCACTGCAGTAACAACAATAGACTTCCCAGTGTATAGCTAGAAGTCTGTCACAAACTTGAGCTCATTAATGAACTTTTCTAGTATGCGAAAATCAATTTATGCAGTTTTGAGAGGTTTAGAACAGCACAGCATAAAGCAATGTGTGCTCTCCAAATGGATAATAGAAATAGCAACTATGTGCAGTGGAAAGGCTTTTCCAAATGATAATTATAAAAATATTCCATTTTTGTTGAGTCACATTGAATGAGATGCCTAGTGCAACTCAGGAATAGAAGCCATTTCCATAAAATAAAATCCTAACTAGAACACATAGCACCTTTCCATGTAGGCTGGTTTATGTCTCATCACAGTTATCCTATTTCAGATTTTGCTGGAAAGGAGCTGTCTGTTCATTGTTTATTTTTGTATGGCATATAACCACTGACATTTGAAAATATATATTTTTCTTTCACCCTGTAAAAACAATGGCCCTGCTCAGAAGAGACTTCCTGAAGTGCAGTAGCTCCATGGATTGCATACATGCCTTTCTTGCTGAGATCTGGTGTCAGCCCATGGGTGCAGGCACTGTGCACATGGCAAGGGGAAGAGGAGCCTGCCTACAGGACCAACGTGCTCTCTTGCAATACAAAGATGGGGACAAACTATTCCAGCTTGCTGAAGGGAACATATTTCCATAGCTCTGCCAGGCTACCGTGATATGATGACTGACCTACAAATCATGTGTTAAAATATAAGTATAATAAAAGAAAAAAGAGTCCAAGAATAGCCCTTGACTAGAAATCTCCCAATGCAACTAATCACTTGCCCTGCTATACTCAGTTTTTCACCATTCTGGAAAACAGGAGCAAAAAGAGACTCCGGATCTACAGCCCCAGCAGGTGGTTGCTTCAGGGACCACCACCTCCACTGCCATGGACACTTTCCCACTGCCAGCCAAGGTGGGCACTGAGAGGGGCTTTCTGGACAAGTTCATCCCTGGTCATTGCTGTCTTGTGCAAATCTCAAGTTATTTTTCCCCACTTCTACACTTGTTACTTTTCAAAAACAACTTCTACCGAGTGCTCAGTGGTTCATACAGATATATTTTCACTCTAATTTATGAATTCTAAGGATGACTCATGTCTAGCAGCAATTGATTTAGAGGCATGCAGAGGAAGGATAAATTCCTGCCCGACAGACAAATCAAGACAGTTTTCCTTTGAGTTTTCATGTGGGTGGCAAGAATTCCCAAGCAGACATTCTTAGGGCCTGGGTAACGCTTAAGGCTCTTTGAGTGTTGAGTTTGTGGTACCAATCCTGTACATGCAGCCCTCAAAGCAAAGCAAGTAGGAGAGGTCACAGTGAACAAATTAGGTTTGAATTAAATCTGAACAGGGAAACTAATTTAAAAGTTACCCAGCTACTTTCATAAAGGCTACATTTGTTTGAAGGCTTAAAATATTAACAAGCAGCTCTCAATCTATTTATAAATAGGAGATGCACATAGAGTTTGACATTGATTAGATGTTATACACTGACTGTTGAGTCTTCTTTTACTATCTGTTGCAAAAAAGCAATAAAACATTCAACGGAAATATTTTCCTCACCCTGGCCAGATAAGAGCTAGCATTTCAATCACAGTTATGTTATTATGCTCGATGTTACTTCCTTTAGAGTTTGACAGCCTCGGTTATTCACATTATGCTAGTAAGAGCAGAACTAAAGAGCAGAGCACCAGCACTTCCACATCAGTGACAAAAATAAAGCAGTGTGAAATAAAGCCTAACCACTGCAATCAGTAAAAGGACACAAAGGAAGAGAAAGACAATTAAAATTTCAATCAGTCAAAAAATACAAAAAAAAAGTTGCTTTGCATCTTTAATTTTTTTTTTTAAAAAACGTTTTCAATACTAAGAATCAAGTTGTCGCCATGCTGGACAGCAAGTATTTCTTTGCTCATTCTAGTCAGATCTTAAAATACTAGGTACATTGCTACTCAAGCCACATCTTCAAGGCAGAAGTTTAATAATACAAAAGTTAACCAGGCTGGTAGTTTTCTGCCCAGAATATGAAAGCTTTGGCAGTGTTGCTCTTTCTCTTGCTTTGTCTCATGCAGACATATTAAGGCTGAGTCAAAAGCCTGATGTGGGTGTATGTTGTACAGGCT